CCTATGATGCATATCTCTCACACTTTGGTGTCTGGTGTGATCGGCAAAATAATTTGATCCATTACTGACCTTTGCGTCTTAAAAGTGAAAAATAGCCATTTCATGTTCATGTAGATAGACAGGAATCGGTTGTATGAGATAACACAAATGCAAATTTTTTGTGGAAGATGGAAAATAAAGAGAAATAACAGATTAAAGGTCAGATAAGATGCTGGGATTAAATGCATGAAAACGTCTTTGAGTTCAGCTGAAGGTCCTGAAGGTGCCGTTTGAAGATATTGGTTTCAGTCGTTAAAACAATCTTTAAAAAAGTTACACTATATGTTCACTACATGCACTGTACACTATAGGTCTGCTGTAAATGAGGCATTTATTTTAGAAGACTTGCTGTGCAGTTCTTACAGGTACTAACACTTCTGAGAATTCAGCTTATGTTCCAGGAAATGATGTTTTGACAGGACATGGAATATACACATACTGCATATGTGTGTTGTCTGTATAGCTCTGGTCACAAGTTCACAGACACTTGTCACGGCCATAAATGTCATGGTAATTTTAGGCTTTCTATGATTTTTTGGGGGGTATGTAATTTTTGCAGGGTGGAGTGATTCTATAGCATTTAACTTTTATGGTTTTATAAAACAATCGTTTGCACAACTTTGACAATATTTAGAATTTTCTCTAATCCACACAGGGTCAAAATGATATACATACACATTATATACATAATTCACACTAATGGTCAGGTTCCACTGCATGTGAGTTTTTCTCAGTTTGTTATATTTCATATTTCAATCATACCACACCACTGAACTTTACTTATGTGGAACCCTCAGTTTATAGAAGGTTGTGCCTCTGACATCGACTGTTGTCAGTTCAGCAGGTAGCTTCCTATCTGCAAAAGTGGATGGATAAATAATAAATGCATGGATTTATTCTCTTGCTGCTCTCTAGTTTCCTTATCTTCACGTGGCATCATTTTTCTTCCATTCTTTCTGTCAT